TGAACGTGCCCAATCGAACGAACGCGTCGTCAATTGGTCGCGTTCATTACTCTCCAATTGCCAATATTACCACGACCTGTAACTGTGCTAGAAAGCGGATTTTTGAAGGAGCCCCATAAAACGTTACCTCCTTTCTCCCAACCAATTTACCTATAGTCTTGATAATCTTTCCGCCCTCACCTACATTGTCAGTTGACTATCTGCTCCCCAAGGGTGTTTGTTCTTAATGCGTACCACAATTCCAATTACAATTAACAAATGGCTCTTAGGATATGTTTGGAATTGGTTACGTTGTTCTCACAATGCTTTTAAATTGAAAGGAGTCCAACTCAAACTGCGGCACAGGCCCGCATGGAATCGCTGAAGGTGAAGATGGATACATTGAAAGGTGAACTGATGAGACTGAGGCAACTACTGACCTACGTACGCATGGCCATAGAGAACATTTACGTGAAATTACAAATGACGCCCAGCACGTCTAAAGGTGCCAAGAAACAAGCTGCAGTGATCTTGAGGCATTTGGTTGAAATTCACCTGCCTGATCTTATGCTTCAATGCTTCGATTACCAGGACCAACTGGATAACGATCTCGATGATTACAACCTGTCTGTAGAAATCGCTAACATGCTTCAAGAGGAGGTCAGTTGAGAAATTTTAAACCTACTCTGCAATACACAAGAGCTAAACAGGTATGCAGAGCTCTTTATAGATGCTCTTCCAATATGTCCAGGAGACGAGTGGTGAAGGTCCCTGAGGATCTCTATGCCGTCACACACAGCTTCGAAAGTAGTGCTGCACTAGTTGAGTTTAACCTCTGATCGTTGTCACTGCTAAGCTACCAGCAGCTAGCTGTAACAAGCCACCATACATTTCTCTTGTAATCATATAGAATTTCAGCACACCAAAATTTCTATCTGTTACGGCAGAGCCGAACAAATGTTGTGAATTGGCGATCTCATTTGTCCTAACAACTACACTACACAAGCATCACCTCGCTACTTTTTTGCATTTTAGAGTATGAAATTGGCGCACACCGACCAGGTGAGTTTTAAAGGGCAACAGTCCCGACAAGCGTCTCACAAGTACACTTACATTATTCACTCATCATGCTTCTTTCCTCAATTCTGCTAAATTTGCAAGAAACCCCTCCATTCTTAGATCCCTACTCATTACAAATAGCCACCAATACGATAATTCACTGAACTACTTCCAGGCTAGGATTCACACCTTAATAGCTCTCAAACTGTCCACCTTGAGGCAAATCCCAAGTCGCCTATCGACTCAGTTGTTTCTACTGTTCCAGTTCTACACTTCTCTCAAAGGAAAGATTCCAAGGTACAACACTCGCATAGTGCCCAATTGGATGAAGAGATCGGAAAAAGGTAAGCCAATATGAGCGAATCCCAGAAGACACCGATAACTGCTAACCTCAAATGCGTATTCTCAGTGGAAAACGACGATGGAAACAATCCCGAATGGAGATCTCGCACTGACCTCAAGCACCGATCAGCGTATATAACTTTGGTAAACAAGCACCAACTCAACAAACAATGAGGGAGGAGACCATAAACGACACACAGCGAATTTTCTACTTTCAACTAATAAAACATCACTATTATTCATAGCCAGTTTTTGAACAGCAAACCTAACTGTCCCAAAAGGCTCAACTGACGTTTTGCCACTAAAAGGACCCCGTCCCAATGTAACTGAACTTCAAAGGAGACCAATGAGACAATCATGGTCTAAAGAAAAGGACACAATTTTAATAAACTAAACTTCAGTAATATAGGACAGAAGCAAAGGCAAAAATGCTCCAAAGAGATAGCTAAACTTGTGTTAGCCTATAGAGGCATTGTAGCACACAATTTAGCAGTTGATCGCTTTTCCAAAAGAGGCCGCAAGGTTAGCTTCTCGAAGTGCTTCGCTAACAGTCTAGAAAGGACAAAACATTCGACTTGAGAAGTTGCATTAAGCGTTACAGAGATAGGTAGATGAAAACAATTAAACTTCGATGAAGCAAATCAAAGAACTAAAAAATAAAAAAATAACAGATGAAAAAGAACAGACCGGATGTGCATGGCAGACGCGAGCAACATCTTCAGCCGAGGCTCCATACTCCATAGCGAGGACACCTTCGCCGATGAGTTCACTAGCTTGTGGACCAAGAAGGTGGATGCCAAGAATTTTGTCTGTAGCCTTGTCGGCTAGGACTTTAAAAATGCCGTCGGATTCATGGTTGCATCTGGCGCGGGAGTTCGCTGAAATTGGGAATCTACCCACTCTGAAAAAAAAGAATCGATAACCATAGTACATGGAACATAATAGTTGCAAAACAAATATTGAAAACGAGAATTTACACACGCGTTCCCAAGAAAACGCCATAAAATGGTTTAGTTGTAGCAAAACTACAGAAACATAAAATAAGCTTTGCCAAAGGTTACACAAAATCAACACTACAAAAATGATGGGATTTTAATTGGAAGTCATGGGACAGCATCTTTAGTTATGAATATAAATTGCACTAGGCTTTGAACCAAACTAGTACTTACTTGTACTCAGTTCCAGAAGCCTTTAAATCCTCTTCAGACTTCCCTACCCAAGCGCATTCCGGATTGGTGTAAATAACACTGGGAATACAGCCGTAGTCGATATGAACATTGCCACCGCACATACCCTCAACGCAAAGTATTCCTTCATCTTCGGCTTTGTGAGCCAGCATTGGTCCTTCGATCACATCACCAATAGCATATATACTATAGAAAAAATTTAATCAACACGAGACCGAAGGCCTCAGGGTGTTTTGGTAACAAGCAGACTTCAATAACCAAATCCAAGACTGATGAAACTACACAAAGGACTGACCAAGTCAGAAACTTATTGCACAATGAACCTACTTTGGAACAGTAGTTTGAAATCGGTTATTAACAGGCACGCGACCATATTTATCGCATTCGATTCCAACGTTCTCTAAACCCAATCCAGTTGTATAGGGAGAACGACCGATGGCGACTAGCAAGGTATCACAAGAAATCTAAAATATGCTTGAAATTACCGCAATTCGAAAAAATAACTGTAAGTCAGTAAGAAAGCATACCGAATCGGACTTTCCATCCTTGACGCCCTCGACAGCAACAGTAATGCAATTGTCATTCAGCTCAGCTGATATCACCTTGGTATTCAACTTAAAATTCAAACCCTGTTTCGTAAGGACTTTTGCAAATAGTTTGCTAATTTCCATGTCTATCCCCATGCCACCAATGTGATCAAGATACTCGACAACAGTTACCTACAGAAACACTACCCAGTTAATTGGAAGGTACGTAGAGAACTTAGAATGAAAAATGAATGCGAACCTTAGCGCCTAGACGCTTCCAGACAGAACCCATTTCGACCCCAATTACGCCAGCACCGATTATGACAAGATGTTCAGGCACTTTTCCCAGAGAGAGAGCCCCGGTGCTGGTTATAAAGTGTTTTTCATCGATATTTATTCCAGGAAATTGAGTAACATCACTTCCGGTGGCGATTAGAATATTTTTGGTGTTAATAACCTCGGTAGACCCATCGGGCTTAGTGACGGTAACTTCGTTGGGCTTCGTTATGGACCCAACACCTTGAACACTTTCAACCTACATTCAGCGAAGTTACAAATCTACAAAATTGAGAAAGTTACCTGATTGGCTTTAAAAAGATGGACGATACCTCCAGTGAGTGTGGCGACGGTTTTTACTTTGGCAGCCATCATCCCTGCCAAGTTCAAATTAACTCCGCTTAATTCAATGCCCCGAGATTCCAAGTGATTCAATTTGCACATCTCGTAGTAATGAGAACTAGCCAAAAGAGATTTGCTTGGAATACAACCAACATTGAGACATGTGCCCCCAAAAGTAGGATATTTTTCAACACAAACAGTCTATACTAGTTTTGGAAACGAAAGGAGAAAAAAAACCTTCATGCCCAACTGGGCCGCTTTGATGGCCGCCACATAGCCTCCAGGTCCAGAACCAATAACAACAAGATCCTTTTCACCAGAAGATAAGCTGCGAGTGAGCCGGAAATTTACGGGCTTCGAAAAAAAACCTGATGACACCTAATATCGACATTTCAACAAAGTTACAAAGAGAAGCATACGAGTCTAAACATCTTCACGCAAAATGCGGGACAACGAAAGAGGCGCCGAACACCACCGACTGCATAAAACTAAGACCACCATTTAAAATTGCAGCCAGATAAGAAATTTGAGTACTGCAGGCCTATTAAAATGTCAAAACTGCATAAAAGGTACGCCAAGCGAAATAGAATTGGATTCACTTCAGCTGCAACAGGGTTTCGATATATCTAAAGTTAAACATAGTTGAGAACGCAGGAAGCGGCCTTTCATAAGCACTTTTAGGGTTATGTCGAATCACTTTTTGACTAAAAGTATGCAACTAAACTTCTTTGTTTCTTTCACATCGGCAGCATAAACTGTAACAGCAGTAGTTGAGATGTTTTATTACTGAGTGAACTTGAAAATGATTCAGTCTTATTTCTGTAAGCTCAGCATCCTATTTTTATGTGCTTGACTTCTTGTGGCCGATAGGCTAGTTTTCGTCCACCAGTGTTACATGGACAGTGCTTCAATAATCTTAATCGAACTCCTATTCAAGATAGGTGCCACATTCTCCAGCCAAAAAAATTAAAATTAATATGCTTTTACAAACGTTACCTTGTTTTTTGATATCTTGACCCCTGCATTGTTTTATGCAATTTATCTTCAATAATCGCTTTGGGGTCGTGAGTTGCTGCTTTGGTTATTCCGCCGTAGTTATTAGATGGTCCCATTTCATCCCTTCACTGCCATCCATTGATTGATTTGTACTGATGATCCATATAATATCTTAGTTTAGTTTTACCGTGTTACATTGAATAATGTGCTTTTTTAGTTTTCTTAGTCTTTTCAGTAACGCCATCTGATTGTATCAACTGAGCACCAATGACCATACTCATTTGACAACGCATCCATCTTTAGGAGTGGAGGAGAATTTGCGATGAATTGGTATTCTGGTGATGTGAGTCAATGCATCAAGGAAGTAAAGGCTACTAAAAAACTCCTTTTGGTATTTTCGAGAGGTAGGAATTTAGTATTTCTTTTTCTATTTTACTGTACTCAGATAACGATCACATTTCCAGCGAATCTTCTACTGCACTCAATGCCAAAGACGTTGCCATGCACTGTCAAAATGTGGTCTGTAAGTCTGTAATGAAAACATTCAAGCAGAGGAAGCGTTTGTTGGTGCGCTTTCTGTGTAGATAAATCTGGAAACTACCTAACTGTCTAACGTTAATTTATTTCTGCCATACCTTTTATAACTTGCGGATATGCTAATTTGCCTATGTGACTGCATGTGCTCACTTCTGTAACAGGTTTGCAGTTACAGTCAGGATCGGTGTCTTATCACCACTTTGAATCTGTTTACAACGTTCCTTCTCTACCTTGCATCCACATTATCTCCCCATCGGGCTTGGTTCTGAGCGTGAAAACTACAGGCTTTTCTGTGGAGGAGATCACATCGTGGCTTTCTGAGAATCTGGCATCATTTGGTGGGTTAATTTTGTGGCGACACCGCGCTGCATTCGGCATCATTATCTCCTCTTGATACAACTTTTAGAGTCTGCCAAGGGTTTGACAAATGAAGTGAGAGAGGTACAGGAGTTCGCGCTTGAGAAAGGTAAATGCGACAATTCGCCCGAAGCTTGCGTCCCCGATTTACATTTTCCATTGTCAAACCAAGTGAATTCCAATCTAGCCTCTAGCGATGAGCCTGCTGCTCCGCGATTGGAAGAGAAGGAAGCTGCATTGGAGTTGCCTAATGCACTGCCTGAGGATGAATTTGCTTCTTCGCCTTTGATTTCATCTTATCGACCAGATAGTTTGGGCGGTTACTCAGATTTGGGTTGTCAACGAGATCGGGAGACAGTGCAAGGAGAAGGGATTCTTCAAACTGAATGGGTTTCGTCTGAAGCTCGGTTGGAAGCTGACACTTCTGTCTTGCCTTATCAGTCCGGTAATAATCTGAATGAAAGAATCGAGCATGCTCGTCAACTATTGGAGGCGAGGAGGCAGGACAAAGCTGTGAAAGCCTTTCAGGAGACTCACGAGTCGGAGTTGAAACGGCGCGATCTTGGACGCGATATGGCGAAGTTTAAGGTAGCGACTGAGTAATTTTTAAGCAAAAATGCGGTAATGCAACAAGTACTTATTGATATACCTTTCGCTAACTGATTGCATCGCATTCTATAGGGCTTTGTTATTGATATTAGAAGTCTAACAGTTTTACTTGATTTATGCATAAATCCTGAAATCGGTGGCTTTTACAATGCACAACTTCTGGAGTTTTCAATCAGTGTAACCATTGGGTATTATTATTGGGCTAAACCATCGCCAGCTTATTTATTAAAGACGTGGATCTTTTTTTGCAAAACTCGCTTTTTTGCCTAATGTACTGCGCCTTGTTAAATTATTGTGTTGGGCACTTGGGAGCTGTGCATTTGATATCATTAATTTCTTTTCTCCCACTCCCTAGCGTCAAAAGCAAGAACAAGAGATTCGTGAGCGCCTAGAGGAACAGAAACGCGAAAAGGCCGAAAAGCAGGCAGCTCGTCAGCGCATCCTTACCCAAATTGAATTAGATAGGCGTGACCGTCTAGGGATTTCTGCCCCCACAGTCGCCGCTCCAAAGTGCGGCACTGCTCCTCTTACTAGTGCTGTTGACCCGAACGAGGTATTCTCATGCATTGGCATTTAGCATGTATATTCTCTTGCTCTTGTTCCTCAGTTTTGTGTGCCGTGGAAAATAGCAGAAATTAATCGAATGTTTTCGCTAAAACGCTAGCTAAATTCACCTAATGTTGTAACGAGTATTTTGTTCCTCTTCTAAAGGTGCGCCTGCAATTGAGGTTGCCTGATGGCTCTCACATGGTTGGCGTGTTTGCAGCCGACGCGCATCTTGGCCTAGAAGTACGCCAGTACATAAGCGCTCGGGTGGAAGGTACTCCAACTTCGGGAACCTTGGCGGTGGCGCCTATTAGCGACATTGTTCGTGCCTCGTTTGCTCCAGTTCTCGCCTCCGGCTTCACCTTCCGCCAGACGCGCCCTAATCCGCCGCGACATTTTTCTCCCGATGATGAAACTGCTAAAACCCTGCGAGAGCTTGATCTCTGGCCCTCTGCTGTCCTTATGTTGCATAGTGACAAATGCAAGCCTACTACAGACGGTGCTCTTGCAGGATGCTCATACAGTATGTCACTTTAATCTCCATGAGCAGCATGTAGGCATCGCGGTTAAATGTGCTACTTTGCCTGTCGAATTTCGACACCAGCAAATCGAATAATAGAAGAAAAACAACTCTGATCCAACATTAACATGCCTTTTCCCAAAATACATGAGCTATGCGTGCAAAAACATTTATCATTTGCTATTTCTATAATGACCTAAAACTATTCCTGACTTCTTGGTTAAACCTCGATAAGGTAGTCGTGGTTTCACTAAAAATCCGTTCACGTTCAGTAACTCATGCGGATTACCATCATTGTCTTCCAGCTCTCGATAACTATTCATAAATGGATAATTAAGAACTTTTACGAGATGCCTTTTTGTTAAAGGAGTAATTTTTATATTTACGTTCGAGAATATAAGTTGGACGTAACTACTTGCAAAATAGCTCATACTCAAAATTACTCGTAACATGCGTAATGAAAGTGCTCAACTTTCGGTGATAACTTTCGTTTCTAAACCCAAGCAGTTTCTAGACAACAGCGTTAAGTCACTAACTTTGCACCAAAAATTCAGTTTGACGTAGCCATTGAAGCTGAAGCTAATCACTGGCATACCCTCCAGATGTGCTTTCTCGTATGGCGGGCCTCGTTTGGGGAAGTGTTCAAAGCATCGGCGATATGCTCTTTTACTTCGGTGATGGTTTGATCCAATTAGGCCGAAGTACTTGGCAGATTCTCTTCAATACTGGTAGTGGGCGCACCGTTGGTCAGGCCCGGGCTGCCAACCCTACTACCTCAACTCGGCCTCTTCCGTCCACTGATGAGCGATTTGAAAGAAGTGCGTATCGGCGGCAGGTATGCTGTTATTTTCAGCTGTACAAGGCCAACTGCTTGATTTCCTCCCACCTTACTTATAATCAGCGCTATTTACGTGTTAATGATTTAACACTTTAAGCAGTACCAAACAGACCATCAGTGCGTTAGAATGACCTAAAAGCTCTTGAAACCGTGTTCGATAATGTGTTTCATACTTTGTCGAAAGAGAGGTACAGCTATTTTTTCTCTAGGCTAGCAACTTAGCGGTTACGTACAACTGAGATCCACGTTGATAAACATTTTCAGCGCAATTATTTGTGTGTATAATCACAGGACTGGAATTCATTGTGCACCACTGGGATGCGGTATTCAAGTGCGTGCGTGCTGAGTCTTTTATCATGCGAATGAACTCATTTTAGGGCAAAATCTCCAGGTTATCACACATGCCTGACGACACAGATGAGCAGGCAAGATGGAATGGAAACTCGACAACTCAGCTTTGAGAATTCAAGCATCATTAAATTTGTGCTATTTTGGCATTCATTCGAATTCCGATTGATTTGTTAACCTCGCCTGTCGTTATTTAACATTGCTTTTAATAGAATACTGCCAGAATAAATACAATGAATGCGTGTATGCATATATCAATTTCCGCGCCTAACGCAATTTTCCTCATGTGAGTTAGGTCGTTTCTGGGGGTTGGCGCCGTCACAATGGATTCTATTTCCAAAACTCGAATTTCCCAATTAAGCACGCGATGCTTATCACTGCTGTCTTTATGTCCGTTCAGGTGACCGAGAAGTTTGGATAGCTTTCACAGTGACTCTACACCGACTTAGTGTAGTGG